TCAAAATAGTAAGTTGTATGTTATTCATGCTTTACCACAACTTTTTAAGTAAAAAAAAAAGGACTGGAAGTATCCTAACCTACCTACCAAAGGTATGCTTTGGGGTGAAGTTCATAATGGTTGCTTTATCTGGTTATGAAGAAAGAGTAACAAACACACACACATTACCAGACTACGAAGACCTCAAGTAAAACAATTCTCCTGCTTCCAGCTATTTAGTTCTGTCTTCTAACATATCATTTCAGGTTTCCTCAAAAGGGAAAAACTCAATTCAACAAATCATAATTAACTTTGTGATACATATTTTACTGAAATTTCAAGCCCTGGAAGACATAAAGGGAAAACAAAAGTTATTTCAACTCTGGGCTTTATTTTCAAGTCTCAAGGGGAATTAAAGTGGAAAGAAGAAAAGCTAAAATGAAGTGATTTGTCCTATGTTAAAAAACAATTTCACATAGATTTTCTCACTTAATACTTGTAATGAATCCGGAAAAAATTTCTCCACTTGGTACATGAGGAAACTGAGAGTCAAAGAGATTAAGAAACTTGCTGAAGCTCACATCGCTAGTAAGCAATTTAGTAAAAAGAAATTCATGTCTGTCTGAAAGAAATGAAGCTCTTTTCATTTCCTGAATCTACTTTACATTATGAGGAAAAGTGACCATCTTATCATAGTGTATGTAGTCACAGAAGGAAACCTTGGATATAATTAGATGTAAACCCTAACTATAAGAAAAGCCAATATTGAAATTTCAGGGAGAAGATGGGGACAATCCCAAAGTCATATACTCTAACAGGGATGATGGTTCAACTTGAATGAGAGATTGTTAAAGCAATAAAGTCTGAAGATATAATCTCAAATTATGATAATGAGGAAGAAAGATGTTATAGGGCGAGGAGTATCAGGATAGATGTAAAGAAACCAAAGTATTTCCACAGGGAACTCTTTAGTCAACATATATTTAAAAATAACACACCAACAACTATAAGAAACAAAAGCTAACAATCAAAATAAACTTATCTATATGGAGAAAAAAATAACAACAAAAATCAAGAATTTGAACATAGCTCAACATTCAGAAAACTAAGATCATGGCATCTGGTCCCATCGCTTCATGGGAAATAGATGGGGAAACAGTGGAAGCAGTGTCAGACTTTATTTGGGGGGGGGGGGCTCCAAAATCACTGCAGATGGTGACTGCAGCCATGAGATTAAAAGACGCTTACTCCTTGGAAGGAAAGTTATGACCAACCTAGACAGCATATTAAAAAGCAGAGACATTACTTTGCCAACAAAGGTCCGTCTAGTCAAGGCTATGGTTTTTCCAGTAGTCATGTATGGATGTGAGAGTTGGACTATAAAAAAAGTTGAGCACCAAAAAATTGATGCTTTTGAACTGTGGTGTTGGAGAAGACTTTTGAAAGTCCCTTGGACTGCAAGGAGATCTAACCAGTCCATTCTAAAGGAGACCAGTCCTGGGTGTTCATTGGAAGGACTGATGCTGAAGCTGAAAATCCAATACTTTGGCCACCTCATGCGAAGAGTTGACTCATTGGGAAAGACCCTGATGCTGGGAGGGATTGGGAGCAGGAGGAGAAGGGGATGACAGAGGAAGAGATGGCTGGATGGCATCACCGACTCGATGGACATGAGTTTGAGTAACCTCCGGGAGTTGGTGATGGACAGGGAGGCCTGGCATGCTGCGATTCATGGGGTCTCAGAATCGGACACAACTGCGTGACTTAACTGAACTGAACTGAAAGATCTAAAGATAAATTCAAAGAACAGCAAAAGCCAAAAAGAGCAGATGCCATAAGGTAAACAGAACACTGAGGAAATAATAGAACAATTCAACTTCAATTTTTTTTATTTTCTCAAAAATAAAATAAATCTTGAAGTCCAAGACACAAAAAGAGATAATAAGTGAACACCTCAGCATATAATTTTCATGTAAATAAATTTTTAAGAATAGTAAAATATATAAGTGAACACCTCACTATTTAAAAATATTTAAACCCCAAAGGCAATAAAATATACATCCCAGATTCAAATTCAAATAATATTTTAAACATGCATAGAAAATAAAAGGAGCCAGCAGACAAACAACTGGAAAAGTGATTTCATTTTTCAGCATGCACAAGATGGATTCTGAAAGCTGTCAAACACTGTATTTCTGTAAGACTTTAAAAGGTGGATTGGTGTGGAGTTTAAAAATTTGGCTCTGAAAAGAAAGTTTGGCTCTGTCAGATTTGTAGCCCTGGACTTGCTCATTAACTCTTCTGAATTTTATTCACTCAATGAAATGGAGAGGTTGAATTCTACTTCATAAGATACACTGTGAAGATTAAGAACAATAAAGTAGAACTGAATACCTATCACATAGCAGGTGCTCTATGTTTCTATTTTTATTATTTTCTATTATTTTTATTATTTTCTACTATTTTCTATTTTTATTATTTTCACAGTAGTTTCTATTTTTATTATTTTCACAGTAGTTTCTATTTTTATTATTTTCATTATAAGCTTTGCTATCTATAACTGATCTAAGAGGTGCACTGTAGTTATATATCTTACTGAAAAATAACTATTTAACAATGTAAGAGGGACACTTCTGATAGCCTTGGAGCCTCTAGCATAGAGCAAACTAATTCCCTAGCAGTATTCTCCACCACTGGAATGTCAGAAAACTTTGGTTTTCATAGATCTTTATACTCTTTTGGTATCTGTTTAGAACTAAGTAGTGCTAGCGGTAAAGAATCTGCCTGCCAGTGCAAGAGACCCAAGAGATGCAGGTTTGATCCCTGGGTTGGGAAGATCCCCTGGAGGAGGGCATGGCAACCCACTCCAGTATTCTTGCCCGAAGAATTCCATGGATAGTGGAGCCTGGTGGGCTACGGTCCCTAGGGTCACACAGAGTAGGACATGACTGAAGCAACTTATCACGTGCAATACTAGGAAAAGCAAGCATTTATCTTAAAATAATATATATAAATATTGCCATGAGAGTGAAAGAATAACAACACTAGTACAACAAAGTCAACAGACTAGATATAAGTCAAGTTGGTTTTACAGGATCTTACAAAAGCTGAGGGCAAGAAAAAGAGTCAGGTCAGAGAACCAAGCAAAATTCCACAGGAAAGTCAGAAGTAAGACTTATCTGTAGCTGCTATGCAATCTCTCAGGGATATTCTACTGAGAGCATAGAATATCCTTTCCAGGACTGATTTGAATCAAGGGTCCTTAAAAGGAAGTAAACCAGTTTTAGAAATGCATCCAGTCTAACTCTGTTCAGCTTACTCAACAGTAGATCAGGATTTATACTAAGTAGAGAAAGAATGGAAAGATGAAATCCTTTAACACTCATCCTTTAACATTCCTCCAGGGGACCTCAGAGAAACAAAACCATCCCCACCTCCCAGCTATTCTGGGCTGCAGCCGTCATTATCACACTGCAATTATGGTAGCTGCCTCTTTGCAATTCTCCGAGGCACGGTCTTGTATTATGATTCACTACTCTGTTTATCAGTGTTTTCTCAACATTATTTCAAGTTGTCTGCTCACTTCTGCTATTGATTTCACTCAGCCTAAGAACTCAGAGGCAGTTGTATCAGAATGAGAATAGGAGTTGCTGCAAAAAGATTGAGAAAGCAAGGTTATTATTACTAGGTGCCATAAAAGCATGACTCAACAGGTCTAAAGAATACACCCCAGTGCATTCTGTCACCTAGTTTATGGGAGGATAAAGGAAAAGTAAGTCACAGAAGTGGACTGATTTGAAGTTAGAGTTTATGCAGAATTTCAAAGGAATGAGTATTCTTTTGACAGACAACAGGAATCCAGATGCTTTAGTCTACACTTAAAACAGGAAGTTACAAACTTTATAGGTCATATGCTCTGTCCAACTGCTTTAGAGTAATTCATTGCTTCTCAGAATTTCCCCTAAGGGATGTTTAATATAGTTGAATTCTTAATAAACTCTTCTCTGTGATTCTACCCCAAAAAGAAGATGTAAAACAATATCAAAACACAAAGCTCAGCATGAAATTAACACAAAACCTAAGTAAGATTCCTTATTTTCTTTGCATATGTTATTTAAGTCGACAAGTTAGAATTTGATTGATTTTTGTACCAGGTATTCTCAGGATGTCAACTCCTGTGTTACTTTGAGATGCTCTAGGATTCATAAAGAACTCGCTTCCTGACAGTTGAGCAGACAGGAAGGATCTGAGAGGCCAGTAGGAAGTGGAGCCCAGCAGCTCAACTCTGCGAGGAGTTTAAAATTGCACACACACACTTTCCTTCCTTCTTTCTCAACTTTCTGGAACTGCTTCTTCCTCATGCCCTCTGCACAACCCCAACTGATTCCTAGCCTAGACCTTACTGAATTCTAATGAAGGAAGACAAAACATTATGAAGAAGGTATTAAGTTCCTAGGCTACCTCTCTTTCCCTCCCTCCCAAGTTCCAGCAGCTCTCACTGGTAAGAGAGAGCTGGTGAAACTTGTAAAGTGAGTAAAGTGCTTCTTTACTATTAGACTCATATGTGTCTGGATCTAATGTTTTCTTTTATTAGATTTGTGAAAGTGAAAGTCGCTCAGTCGTGTCTGACTCTTTGAGATCCCATGGACTATACAGTCCTTGGAATTCTCCATGCTAGAATACTGGATTGGGTAGCCTTTCCCTTCTCCAGGGGATCTTCCAAACCCAGGGATCAAACCCAGGTCTCCTGCATTGCGGCGGATTCTTTACCAGCTGAGCCACAATGGAAGCCCTGTATTTATGATCTACTTCCTCCCCGTAATACTCACCATCCTGCCACCTCCAACACACACACACACACATGCATACATACCAACTGGAGCAACTAGGTATATAACTGAGGTTTGTTGGGGAAGGGAAAGGAAAGAACATTCCTTTTGCTCCTCAAAAGAAGATACACGATACATTTGAACAGCGTTCTCCAACAAAACCGCCTATGTTTACTAAATGTTTGCACTTACCATTTCCTTTTGGTCTTTACACATAAGGAGATACGCGTCTTTGGCTAAACAGAATTCCAGGCTAGAATTCCAGCTCCTTTTTTCCACTGAAAAGTAATAACAGTGGTCACCATACCCCATCCAGAAGTCTGGGCAGTGAGGACAGCCAGCATAAGTGGAGAACTTGGAGCCTGGAAAGGAAGAGGACTTGGGTCACATCTTTATGGATCACTTGGTCTTGGCAATGAAATGGGGGATAAACTGTCTTCCCTGTCCTCTACCTTTCAGATTAAGGTTTAGAGAAATGTACAACAATGCACAGTCTCAAATTAAATACCTCACAATGTCCAACTCTATTACTACTACTGAACATTCTGTTAAGCAAGGATGTGAAGGAGCAGGGAAGGAAATGGATATAAGCTGGCTGAAGACTGGGAGGAGAGTCCCTTGCTTGTGCTAGACATCAGTATGCACGTGTGACACATGCACAACAGGTAATATAACAGTGTATTTGCATGAATGTATCGCTGTACTATTTATATAGACTCAGAGCATACATTGTGTAATAGCATAATGCACATTGTTTAAATCAGGTAGAATCTCTGAGAATATGCAACCACAGTCTGACACTCCATAATAGTGCAGAAGAAAAGGACAGAAACTAGAAAGAACAAACTTATCTAGAATGAAAGGCTGTTTGTTTTTTTTTAATCACAAATGCATTAAAAATTCAATAGAAATCAGATAAAAGACATCCTTCATCAAAAAGAATTCATTCTAGATATTAAAAATAAAAGATTTTCTGACAGAGAAGGATATCAGCTGCTAAAGTGAAAAGTCATGCCATTCTCCTCACTGAGCTCTTTTATATACAGACACTCTCATTCCTTTAAAATGGTTGTGCTATAGATCTGTGAAAATGAAAGAGACCTGAATAAGCTTACATGATAATTCAATGCAAATTCAAAATTCTATTGATTTTCTACTTCTATAAGACATATTTGTATAAACCCTCCATAAACACAATCTCACAATAGGCAAGTGTGAACCACTATATCAAGTGAGCATACATGTGGATACATAACTGCAAAGTAGGTCATATATCTATTCCAGATTTGAAGTTAAAAAGTGGGGAAAGTAGACAACCTTTCTGTAGGAAGGCCTGGCATGGGAACAACATAGGGTTCTGGAGATCAAGCTATGAAGTCGACACTTTATAATTTGTGTTTTTTCCATACAACTGTGACAGTATCCAGACTGAAGGAAAAATTCCTGACTTGCCCAGGAGTCTCCTTCTGCCAAACGTAGGACTTGGATCTGATGTAGCGGTCCTAGGACTGAACCCTTAGAACCCCAATTAATAAAATCTGTCTAACCTGTCACTTGGGCCTTCCCTAGTGGCTCAGTAAAGAATCTACCTGAAATGCAGGAGACCTGGGTTCAGTCCCTGGATTTGGAAGATCCCCTGGAGAAGGGAATGGTTATCCACTCTAGTATTCCATGGATGGAGGAGCCTGGCAGGCTACAGCCCACAGGGTCTCAGAAAGAGTCAGACACAACTTAGCGACAAAACAACAACAGCATTAGCCTGTCACTAGCAATCATGCTCAGATAACTAAAACCTAAGTTAGAACTCTGGATTGTGAAACAAAAATCGAAGGCTCTCTGGATCATCATATATAAGGACCTACAAGTAAATCTAGAAAAGTTCATTTTAGAAAATGGGAAAGCTCACTAAATGGGAAAAATTAGAATATGCTTAATTAAATTACAGTATATCTCATATGAAAAGTTAAACACAGTATTAAAATTATAATTTGATTTTCCTGCTAAATATGGTAATAGGTAGGAAAATGTAGGTAGGAAATATGAAACCAAAAAGCAATACACAAAATTATAAGCATATTGTGATCAGAACTATACCCAGCCGTATTGAAAAAAATAAAAAGTGAGGCAAGGGGGATTTTAGAGGACTTAACTGAAATCCTGTTAAAAGAACAAATACTTAACACAAATGCATGTACTCAAAAACTAGAAGACTATGCCTGGGAGATAGTCTTGTGTTTGTTGGTGATTTATTTTGCTGGGACTATTTTTCAAGTTTCTGTAATGTTATATTGCTTTTATGTACAAACTTTGGTTTAAGGTAGCACTCACCCTGGTACAGAATCCACTGCAATAGCAGCATACTCGCTAGAATGATGGACAGAAGCCCCAAAGCTATCGCCACATGGTAAGAGCGAGGGGATCTCGAAGAAGAAGCTGCAAGAACAGAATCCAAAAAAATATCCTGAGTCAGAATAAAAGTCAAAGGAGAAAAGGTCAGGGAAGGATAGTTGGGATTTTGAAGCAATTTGGCCTGGTTGGAACTGCGATCCAGGCCTTAAAGTTTCCTTTCCTGAATCTGTCAGGGCCATGCTCTGAAGTTGAGGGTGGCCACCATTAACTTCATCAAGGAACATATTTTACTTATCCAGTGAAAGATACTTTTTATTTTGAAATTGTGGCTTGCATAGTCTCATGCTTTAGTGATGAGAATATAAATTAGAACAACTTCTTTGGATGGCAGTTTGGCTGTGTCCCAAAATCACAAAGGCATTAATTTACCCTTTGACTCAGCAATTTCTCTTCAAGAAATTTTTCCTGCAGACATTCACACATGTATAAAATGTCATATTTTTAAGGCCACTCATAGCAACAATATTTGTAGGGGGAAAAGACTAAATTCAACCTAACTGTCTATCAATAAAAGATGAGTCAAATACATTCTGACGTAGCCATAAAGTCAATATGCAATTTCTAACAAAAAAACAAAGACAAGCTTTTTTCATAGATATGGAGTGATTTTTCGAGTAATATAAAGGGAAACAGTTAATAAAACAGTGGTCTGTGAAACAGTGTATGCTAACAGGCATTTCTGAAAATAGACACATGCATATGATAAAGTTGCTTGTCTTGGGGAGGGGAAACAAGTCAATGGGGACAGAAATAGGAGGAAGACTTTTTATTTTCTTCTGTACTTTTTGAATTTTGAACCATATGATGTATTATTTATTCAAAATTGAGATAAATAAAACTTAAATGAAAATAAAATAACTGACACCTCACAAGTGCTTTGGAACCTGTCATAATTGGAAGAGTGATCAGTTTAGGTTGATAATTTGTTTAAGGATAGGACATTACTTCATATTAACTATGTTGCATACAATGTATACCTAAGAATGGTATTTTTTTCATTTGGAAAATAACAAATTTTTCACACCAATTTTTTATTTTAAAATGGTAGTGATCCCTTAGTCTGATAGTGTAGGACTGATAGTGTGAAAGGCAAAAATCTATAAAGTAAGGCATTTAAGTTCTAGTTTTGACTCCTTATCAAATAGATAACCTTTTATTTGGAAATTGAGAAAATAATTCTGCTTATTTGGGCCTCACTTTCAAATTTAAATTTTAGGTAAATGATACTGTAGATGTAGGTATCTATGGCGTATTTTGACCTTCTTAAAGAAATTCCTAGTGAAGATAGCTTAAAATGAGACAGTTCTGTATTTTAACTGTTTGGACTGATATATCCAAAAGCATTTGATTTTTTAGTGACATAAAAAAACATATTTGCACTATAAAAGAATATTTAATGAAATAAATGTTGATATAGATATTACATTAAGTATAAAAAAGTATCAAAACATAATTGCATAAATTGTATATGTGCAACCACAATTCAGTTTAAAAAATTAACTGAAATTTAATATTTTTAATATACTTTATATTAAAAGACTCTTAGTGAAGTACTTGTAGTAAAGTCAGTACAAAAAAGCAAAAATATGTCAAAATAGTAATAGTGATGATCACCATGTTGTAAAATTATTAGTGATTTTATTTTATTATATCTGCTCTCATAGTTTCTCTAATTCCTGTAATTAGCATGTAATGCTTTTTGTATTTCTCCTGGAGAAGGAAATGGCAACCCACTCCAGTATTCTTACCTGGAGAATCCTATGGACAGAGGAGCCTGGCGGGCTACAGACTGTGGGGTCGCAAGGGTCAGGCACGACTTAGCAACTAAACCACCACCAATACTTTTCTAAAGAGATTTTTAATATTGTCTTAATGCTCCTAACCTATTTTCTCATTCCCAAGCAGAGCACCCCAGAAAGCTGGTGTAGGAATAAACATACTGGCAATAAATAAGAATGTGCAGTGTCCACTGGATACAAATAAAAAACCACTTGCCTGGAAGTCAAAATAATTATAGTCAAGTTTCAACTTATCACAAATTGTGTGATCATGTACATAAACTTTAAAATGCACATTCTTTTTGATTTAACATTTCTATTCCTTAAAAATTAGCACAGACATAACCCCAAAGAAGGAAAAATAAGTTCAAATAAAATGTTAAATGCTCTATAATTTATAGTAATAAAAATAAATCTAAATGTCTAAGTATAGTGAAATGATTTAGCAAATTATAGCAGTGATTTCAAGGGACAATACTAAAACTTGTAATAAGACTGAGGCAAAAAAGAGAGAAGGCTTATGCAGCTACACTAACGAACACACCTCATGGAAGTTTGCTCCCTAAGATATAAAATCAAATACTAAGTTTGGCACTTACACAGTTATCTGCCTTCTCAGAAAGTGTTTTCTTGGGGTTCTATGTAAGAATGGTTTGTTTCATCTTCAAATTCCCAGAATCACATGGTCTAGTATCTGTAATGCTCTTAATACCTTCTTCCTACACTTGTCACCATTCTGGTGCAACACTGGGGGTGTGGGTAGGACCTAGTTATATGAAATAACTTCTTTTCTGACAAAATCTTAATATTACCCTGTAGCAAAATTATTGGTGTCCTTCTCTTCATTTCATAGCAAGAAAAACAGAGATGCCTAGAATTTGCACAGCTGGTCCACAGTTGCCCCAAACATTCACAAAGAGATAAAGTTCTCCCAACAAAATTCTTGCTTTAGTTAAGGAGCAATAAAGACAAACAAAATTGCCCCAGCTTGTGTTTCATAGATAAGATGATAGAAGTGAAGGGTTAGAAAACAATTTACCTGAAACCTAAGATCAGATCCTCAACCACATACAAATTTTCATATTCCAACTCTGGTCTTCAAAATGAACCAAAAACGTTTCTCCAAATGACCTTCTATTTTTCTGCATCCTCTACTGCAAATGTATTCTCCATCTCATTCATTCACCTAGCCTATGGTGACTATGGACAGTTTTCCACACTCATTTGGTTAACTCACCTTTTTGCTGCCGTCGGTCGTCCTTCTGAGCTTGGGGTTCAGCAGGAGACTTTATTACGGAATAAGTAACATTGTCAGTCATTTTTGTCTAATATCTTTCACATTCAGTTGAGAGAATAAAATTATACAAGTGTGAAGAGACAGGCGTAAGTGAGGAAACAGCCCAATCTCTAAACTGCTGGCAGGAAACTTGAAGGTTTAAAAAAAAAAAATGGTCCAACATGACAAAAGCAGAAGTAATTTTTCAGGAAATGGTTCAAACTCTGGGGCTGCCTATAGACATTAATGTTCTAAACTTTGATTTTTTGATGTTTTATTTATTTAACCTCACTATACTCTCTAGATGCTCATTAAGTACAAATTAAATTGACTCCCCATCTCACATAATTCTATTGACCAAGGAAATGTTGCCCTTAAATTCGGTAATTCAATTATGGAAACTGGAATAAAAATATGAGAGTGGTTCCTAGCTACAAATTTATCTCAGGTTTTATATTTGCTTGTTCCCTTTTAAGAAAAGAGATGAATAAATAAATAAATAAATAAATAAAAGGAAAACAGATGCATGCCAAATGAGACTGATCTCATTGTTCCTTGGAGCTTTGGGTAGTTGTATGTGATAGAGAAATGGGAGGTTGGTTTGCATGTGACAGGAATCATGGGAGAAATGGGCTCTTGCCCAGATATATGTTCTGTGAGTGAGTTATACCTCTGTGTTCCCCAAAACATTATTCCAATTATGCTTTAATCTTTACCCTTCACAGGTAAGAAATTTCATTTAATTTTCTCTCCTTGTTCTCTTATTTTTATATGCTGAGACAACCACAAAGAGGAATAAATTAAGTAAATACATAGTAAGGTATCATTTGCTATTGTTCAGTCACTCAGTCGTGTTCAACTCTTTGCGACCCCATGGACTGCAGCATGCCAGCCTTCCCTGTCCTTCACTATTTCACAGAGTTTGCTTAAATTCATGTCCACTGAGTCAGTGATGCCATTCAACCATCTCATCCTCTGTCACCCCCTTCTCCTCCTGCCTTCAGTCTGTCCCAAAATCAGGGTCTTTTCCAAAGAGTCGGTTCTTCGCATCAGGTGGCCAAAGTATTGAAGCTTCAGCTTCAGCATCAGTCCTTCCAATGAATATTCAGAGTTGATTTCCTTTAGGATTGACTGGTGCCAGTAATTTATTTCAAATAGGTGAAATCAAAATAAAAAGTCAAAGAAAATAAAAGGGAATTGAAATTCCAGGAACAGATAGGGTCACCAAGTCAGAATGTATAAAGACAGAAGAGAAGAAAGAGAAACAGGGAGAGCATAGTAATTAAAAACTAATAAAATTCTATTGCCAGTCGTCACAGAGTGATACTGGACTTGGCCTTCAGCCAAAACACTCTACATGACAAAATACATGAGGCAGCTGTTCTCAGGGATGGATCAGGCAGCACTGTGACCCTTGAGAGAACACAAACGCACAAAGGTAAGCGCCATGGTCACTCTGGTATTCTGCCCAGGACCACTTTCCAGCCCCAAACGGGAAAATGAATCCTAAAATAGAGCAGGAGTGTCATGAAGCTGAGGAGGCAGAGATCCAAGTTTTGAGCTGTTTGTTGTTGTTCAGTCACTCAGTCGTGTCTGATTCTTTGCGACCTCATGGACTGCAGCACACCAGGCTTCCTGGTCCTTCACCATCTCCTGGAGTTTGCTCAAACTCATGTCCATTGAGTGGGTGATGCCATCCAACCATCTCATCCTCTGTCGTCCCCTTCTCCTCCTGCCCTCAATCTTTCACATACCTGGAGTTTGCAGATCAGGGTGACTGACATGAGAGAGTGGCACAGAGAAAGGTGTCCCAACCCATCACATGAGCTCATCCTCTAAGTCCCTGGCCGAGAGCCAGCTGCACAGATAGGGCAAGACTCTGTGGTCCCTGCTGAGAGGACCCCCTGTGGTCATACACCAGTGGTGGTGCAGTGCTGCCCAGTGCAAACGAAGAAACAAAGCACAGCCTGACACAAAGATTCACCAATAATTGAGCTGCCTTAGAGAATGAACGTTGATGCCCTTAAAAGGAAGACAATATAAACAAAATGTGGTCTATATGTATGTTGGGGAGGAGGAAATACACCCCCCCCCAGAGTACTTGTGGCTGGACTAATAATAAAATTGACACAAGACAGATTAACAGGAGAAATAGAAACACATTTTAATTCATGAACATGGAGGATTCATAGAAATGGGACCTAAGAGGTGACTAAAACAGGCAGCTTTTACACTTTGCATACAAACAAACAATAAATTTGTGAGGAGCTGACTAGGCAAAGAAACTTGGGTTTTGAGTGACCAATCAGTGAAGAATATAGACAGAGTTGGGCACTGGGGTAGTAAATAAAAGAAGTAACAAGATTTGTTTATATGAGCTTCTTGGCACCAAATTCTGTCTTTGATGATAAGGGTGGACTTCTATTAATACCTCCAGAGGTGGGAAGCACTCCAATCACAGAAGAGGCTTACTTCCTGCTTTCAGGGAGACAGAAAGGAAGGCCACAGAGTCACTCTTGAACCAGCCATTTCTTAAGTAACTTTAATTGAGAATAATCAATGTGCCACTGAGGCATATTTCGGGGTAGTCTACCCTGGGCCCCGACAAACACATACAGTGAAATACTATTCGGTCTTTAAAATGAAGAAAATCCTGTCACATCCCATAACATGGATAAACCTTGAAGGCTTTAGTTTAGTTTCTGCTTTACTCTTGTCCAATTCTTTGCAACCTCAGGGACTATAGCCAGCCAGGCTCCTCTGTCCATGGAATTTTCCAGGCAAGAAAAGTGGGTTGCCATTTCCTCCTCGGGGGGATCTTCCTGACCCAGAGATTGAACCCACATCTCCTGCCTCTCCTGCATTGCAGGCAGAAAGGAAATACACTGGTCAGAAAAAGACAAACACTTGTGATTCCTTCCACTTATACAAAGTATCTAAAATAGTCAAATTCATACAAACAGAAAATTGGTTGGTGGTGGCCAGGAACTGGGGAGGGGGAGAAATGGGGTGTTGTTTAATGGCTAAAGAGTTTCAGTTTTTCAACACGAAAAACTTCTGGAGATTGGCTACATAACAATGTGAATATACTTGTATTAGTCTACCTAGACTGTCATGGCAAAATGCCATAGACTTAAACAATCGAAATTTTTTTCTCACTGTTACGAACACTGGAAATTAACAGGCTTGAAGAATTGGGGTCTGGTGAGACCACTCACCTTGGGTTGCAGCAGCTACCTTCTCACCATGGTCTCACACAGTCTTTGCTCTGTGCAGGTATGCAAAAGAGAGAGAGCTAGGGATCTCTGTACTATCTCTTCTGATAATGACATTAAGCTGATCAGAGTAGGACCCCACCATTATGACCTCATTAACCTTAATTATTACTTTCTTACCGTCCCTTCTCCAACAGAGTCACACTGGAGGTTAAGCCTTCAGCATATGAACTTGGGGGTGGGAGGCGACACAAATATTCAGTCCATAACAATACTTAACAATACTGAACCAACAAACTTTAAAATGGTTAAGATTTTTTTTTTTTTAAATGAAGAAGGAAAAAAGGAAGGCAACATAGGAACCAGGGCTCCTTGAGGAACTGACTAATGCTAGGGCCAGGATGGAAAATACACAAGATGAGCCTGGAGCATCTTTTAGTCTTTTAGTGCTGGAAAAGCTCCTGAAATCCAAAATGAAACAATTAGAGCAACAAAATTAATTGGATTATATTGTAAGTATTGGATGTATTGGATTATAACCCAGGAAATTTTTTAAAAAAATTATGAACCCACAGCAACTTATTTTTATTTATTCTCAACAAATAAAGATTGTATACATTTAAGATATACAATATGATTTGATATAAGTATTCATTGTGAAATAATTACCACAATCAAATTAATAAAAATGTCCATCACCTCCAATAATTACCATCTGTGTGTGTGTGTGTCTGTGTGTGTGAGTCGGTGTGTGTGTGTGTGTGTTATATGTAGTGGTGGTAACACCTGAAATCTGCTCTCTTATAAAACTTCAAGTAAACAGTAGTCACTATGATATACATTAGGTCTCAAGAACTTATTCATCTTATAACTGAAAGTTTATACCCTTAATCAATATTTCCCATTTTCCTCCACCCCCCAATCCCTGGTAACCTTTCTACCCTGTGTTACTATGAGTTCAACCGTTTTTTGTTGTTCCAAATAGTGAGATCATGTGAGATTTGTCTTTCTGCAGACAGTTTCACTTAGATAATATCCTCTGGGTTTATCTATGTTGTTGCAGAATGGCAGAACTCCCTTCTTTCTAAAGCTGAATAATTTTCCTTTTTATACATACATCTCACATTATCTTTATTTATTCATCTATCACCAGACACAAAGGTTGTTTCCATATCATAGTCATTCTGAGAAATGCAGCAAAGAACATAGCAGTGCGGGTATCTCTTTGGAATAGTGACTTTTTGTTGGTTACATACCCAGAAGTGGGACTACTGTATCATATGGTGGCTCTATTTTTCATTTTTTTGAGGGGCCTCAGTGTTCTTTCCCATAGTGATTATACAAATTTACACTTCCATTCATTTTGGTTTTTCCTTTGTTCTGCAGAAACAGTTTGATTTGCTATGTGTGTGTGTGCATGTTAGTTGCTTAGTCGTGTCCGACTCTTTGCAACCCCATAGACTACAGCCCCACTAGGCTCCTCCGTCCATGGGATTCTCCAGGCAAGAACACTGGAGTGGGTTTGCCATTTCCTTCTCCAAAAGGAAAGAAAGAAAGTGAAGTCACTCAGTCGTGTCCGACTCTTTGCGACCCCATGGATTGTAGCCTACCAGGCTCCTCCATCCATGGAATTTTCCAGGCAAGAGTACTGGAATGGGTTGCCATTTCCTTCTCCAGGTTGACTTGCTGTAGTCCTACACATTTATTTTGGCTTAGTTGCCTGTGCTTTTGGTGTACATGCCAAAAAACTCATTGCCAAGACCAAGGTCAAGGAGGGTTTCCCCTATGTTTTCTACTAGTAGTTTTATGGTTTCAGATCTTACTTTTA